AAAACCCAGCATTTCCAGCAGACAAGCACGAATGTCAGCTGCCGGAGCAATCTGAAACTCAACACTGTCCCCCATCCTGGTGTCCTGCCACATGAAGCTCTCCTCTCCAGACTATTTGTTGTTGTTGTTGTTAAGTGCCTTTGAGTCTATGGATATATATATATGTGCATGAACTTTCAATTTATGAGGTCCATACCTGTATTTGAATTTTAAACAGAAATACAACTCTGAACATAGAAAAGAGTCACTTACGGATAGCTTCAAGAGACTAACACAAGATTAATAAGCTAAAATGCTGAATAAATAATTTTCATTTACTCATTCATTAAATAAACTTTTGTTCATCCTAGGAGTTCAGACTTCGAAGAGTGGGACAGAAGGTGAAGATGAACAATTAGCACAATATCCAAACAAGTAAAGAAAATTAAGTGTAAGTCACTATCAGTGTGAAGAAAGTAAACTCAAAGCTATTGATAAAGACTACAAGAAATAAACTGCAATCCAAATATACATATAAGAACGTCGTTACCGTTAAACTCTGTTAATTCAGTTCCGACTCATAACGACCCTGAACAGGGTTTTTGAGGAGTTGCTTGTGGATATGAACCATCAATCTTGTAGTTAACTGTCCAGTGCTTATTCTACAGCATCACCCTGCCTTGTGGTAAAGCGCCGTTGCCAACTCATAATGACCCTGCATAGGGTTTCTGAAGTCATGGAAACCCTATCCACGGTTGCTTTGAGTTGGAACCGACTCCACGGCACATAACCACCACAAACCACCATCAAACACTACCATTGGTAGGTTTGAACCACCATCCTTGTAATTAGCAGTCCAGTGCTTATCCTACAGTGCCATACCAGGATTCTTTTAATCTTTTAAGAGCCCTTTTATCTTCATCCAAATTTTGAAAAAGATAGAATTTTCAGACATTAAATTTCTCAACACATCATGCAAATAAATTATAAAATTTTAGTGACGGGCCCAGTATTAACTGGACTCTTGCAAAATAGTTTTAGATCAGATAATAATATTCTATAAAATAGCATACCAGAATTTGATAGCTAGCTTTTGAAAATATGATTAAGCTCCCAAAACGTGTTGCCCACTAAGTAATTCACTTTACTTAAGAAAAAGCATATATGGATGCATGTGACATTAAATATCAAAGCCATACGTAGATGATTATAAAACTATTTTCATTGCACAATAAAGCAAAGTATAATAAAATGAGGTATGCCTGTATGTCATTTGATTTCATGGGTGTTGCTTGTGGATCCAAATGAAACACAATCCTTGAAAGCATCAATATTTTCTGCATTTAACATGGTGTTGCTTATTGACCCAGCTGGGAGTCTTGGTTGTTGTTGTTAAGTGCCGTTGAGTCCGTTCCGACTCATAGCAACCCTGTATACGGCTCCCAAGGCGCAGCTGTTGAGCTTGAACCGCCAACTTTCTTGTTCAAAGTGACCTTGCAGTCTAGTACATTAACCCACATCGCCACACTGTTAAATTCATATTGTTGCCGTTATGTGCCATGGAGTCAGTTCTGACTCAAAGCAACCCCACACAGGGGTTTCTTAGGAGTAGCTGGTGGATTTGACCCACTGACCTTGCTTGCAGTTAGCAGTCCAGTGATTAACCTACAGAAATGTTTTTAAGAAGTTAAATTATTTTTAATGATAAATACTGTTTTCAAGTTGTATGTAGCACTCACCAGCGACTTTAGAGCGTCTCCTTTATAATTTTATAAAGCCATAAAAACCAATGCACTACAGTAGGATAAGCCCTGGATTGTGAACCACAAGGTCCACAGCGCAAGCCCACCAGCCACTGTACAGGAAAAAGATGAGGCTTTCTGCTTCCTGCAAGATTTAAAGCCTTGGAAGCCCCATGCAGGGTTGATACAAGTTGGAACTGACTTGAAAGCATTTAACAACAAACATAGTACAGCTAAGAAACCCTGGTGATGTAATGGATTAAGTGCTGGGCTGCTAACTGCACGTGCACAATTCAAAGCCTCCAGCTGATTCAAAAGAGAAAGGTGAGGCTGTCGGTCCCAGTAAAGATTTACAGCCTCAGAAACACTATGGAGCAGTTCTATGCTGTCTTATATTGTTGCTGTGAATGGCCATCGAGTCAGTTCCCACTCATGTTGTTGTTGTTATGTGCTGTGGAGTCGGTTCCGACTCATAGTGACCCTGTACAGGGTTTCCGAGGCTGTAAATCTCTACAGGAGCAGAAAGCCTCATCTTTCTCCCATGGAACAGCTGGTAGTTTCGAACTGCTGACCTTGTGGTTCTCAGCCCAATTGAGCCCTGGTAGCGTAGTGGTTACTAATTGGGCTGTGAACCACAAGGTCAGCAGTTCGAAACTACCAGCTGCTCCGCGGGAGAAAAATGAGGCTTTCTGCTCCCGTAAAGATTTGCAGCCTTGGAAACCCTGTACAGGGTCGCTATGGGTCAGAACCAACTCGATGGCACTTAACAACAACAATGCCACCAGAGCTCACCACTCATAGCGATGCTGTATAGGAGTGGCTGGTGTGTTTAAACCTCTGATCTTGCTATCCTATGTAGTTGATATAAATTGGGATCGACTAGTTGGCAAAGAGTTTGGTTTGGTTTCATGGTTATAGCACAGCTAAACATCTGTTTTGGAATCCACTGTTGACTCTGGAAGTTCTATTTTTTTTTTTTTTTTAAATACCAGTGGTTGTGATTCCTTTTGGGAGCAGGATTCCTTTGTTATGCTAATGAGAGGATTAGTGTAGGATACTAAGTCTTTGATCTTTTCAGATTTAAAAGAATAGAATAAGCAAGGAGCAAGGAAGGAAGATAGAAGCAGCTAAGGAAAACAGAAGCCACATCACATGACCATGACCAAGGAATCAAGGAAGAGACAAGACCATCCCCTAGAAAAAGGCCTAGAGCCTAGAGCCAGCACCCTGAATTCAGAGCTCTAGCCTCCTGGTTAGTTGGTTGGTTGTGTGATGTTCTTGTTGGTTGCTACGCATAGTGACCCTATATAGGGTTTCCAAACCTGTAAATCTTTACAGGAGCAGAAAGCCTCATTTTTTTTCCCACGGAGCGGGTGGTAGATTCAAACTGCCAAGATTGTGGCTACCAGCCCAACTAGTAACCCACTATGCTACTTTCAAGCCTCCTAAACTCTGGGAAAATAAATTTCTGCTTGTCAAAGCCACCCACATGTGGTATTTCAGTTGTAACAGCACTAGATAACTAAGAACATTCATCTGTTTTGCTTTTAAAGAAACTTAAAAACAAGGCCAAGTAAAAATGGATTTGGCTAATTAAACAGCATCACTGGGCAAATCTTTTAATCATCTCGGAATACTCTCATTTAAATAATCCCTGAGGTACTGTGGATTCATGGAGAAGTTGATGAAGAGCTAGTTTACAAGAAAGAGCTTTAATGAGACAATGTTTAACAAGGAAGACAGGGATGTTTTGGGGTACTCCCAGCTTTTTTCTTTTTTTTAGGTTTGGTCATTTTTCAAGCCTACAATTCAGTGATTTTTAAATAGATTTGTGCGACCATCACCACAATCCACTTACTGGAGTATCTCATACTACTCTTGGACAGCTGGCTGGAATTTATTTTGTAGGAAGGGGCTCCAAAACACAGTGACCACTAAGGAAACACCACGGTCACTAAGATCTACCACATGTTAGATGAAGCTCTTACTATGTAACAAATTACAGGTCTAAAGCATAAGGATTCCTTGGTCACTGAAAATGAGGAAGACCCTAAACTAGATGGATCGACCCAGTGGCTGCAACAATGGGCTCCAACATAACAATCGTGAGAACGGCACAGTGCTTGTTTCATTCTGTTGAGCATAGGGTCGCTGAGTCGGAACCGACTCAACAGAACCGAGCAAAAACACACAACATTTAAGATTTGTCCCAATATCAGTGTTATTAAAAAAAAAAGATGTTACCAAACACTCGCTTGATATTGTGAGATCACTCTCCTAACAGTTAAAAAAACATTTTTTCCCCTCAAATTCTTTTATTGATTTAGAAAAATTTCCTCCTAAGCCTGCTTTGTCCCTGCCAAGCTATTCAGCCCACAACTCTACCAAACTGCTGTGACCAAGGTGCTATTTTCTTCCTGGTTTGGCTCTCAGGCGAAGCAAAGGCCCAGCAAGTGCGGACGGAAAAGAAACAGATTGTGTCGATGCTATTAAATACTAGGGGTAAGCACCCGCACTCTTCATATCCAGAACCCCCTTTCCCAGCGAGGCTCCCCAAGGATCAGTCCGCGCACATTGACCGCTTCTGGGGCAAGGGTCCTGGGTCAAGGCTGACCCCCTCCCCTCACTGGGTTTCTAACAGTAGTGTAGTCGGGGCAACATCAAGCAAACACGCTCTGAAAAGGACTCGGGCTTAAAAGGCAAATACCATTTTTGAGACAAGTGGGATGTGACCCGCTCGAGAGTACCAATGGCATTTTGAGATCGTTTGCGTCGCGGAGCAAACCCAAAGTTTTGGCACAGCACTTACAGTTCACCTGAGGAATAGCTCCACGAAAGGAACTGAAATTGAGCACGAGAGGAAATGGGTGCTGTGGAATCAACAAGACAACACTAAATCCAAGGCAGACGCAAACATTCTTGAAGACCCAGGCTTTGTTGTCTGGTGAGACAACAGAAAGAACCACCGAATTTCGGAGTTGGAAGACACGTATCTCTGTGTTCTCCGACCAGTTCTCCGACTTCAGGGCCGCCCCGCCCCACACTAGGCCCTATAGTTCCCCGGATTTAAGGCGCGGACCTTCGGGGTGGTCGCCAAGAAGGCCTGGGGAGGCCCTAACCCGGCCAGCGATGCCTAAGCCAGGAGAGAGAAGGAAGCGGCCTAGGGGAAAGAGGACGGAGGGAGGAGGGAGCGAACGAAGAGGCCACGGGCCCGGCAGGGGCGCGGCCCCAAGCAGGCGCTGGCCCGGTTCCCCCACCCCGAAGCTCGCCCCAGCGCACCTTTGGCTAGGGCTACGGTGGAGTTCTCAGTGTCGATGGTGTAGAGGATGCCCTCGTAGCGGATCTCCGCCTTGGAGATGAGGCTGATCTTGCTGCCAATGTAAGGGGTTCCTCCGCTCATGGCGCCGCCGCTGCCGCCGCTCGGGGCCACTCGCAGAGAGGCAGATTCCACGCCGCTGCCGCCGCTCTGGACGCCCGCTCGCTTCTGCGGCGCCTACAGCAGCCGCCTCACACTCAACATGGCGGCAGCGCCGGGTTCGCTACCCTCCCCCAGCCTCCCGCCTTCAAGCCGCGGCGCGGCGGCGAAAGCGGCGACAGCGGCGGCGGCGCGGGGCATGCCGGGCTGGTGAGGCCGCGCTCTCGCGATACTAAACCTCGGGTCGGGCGGCTCCGGGCTCTTCAGTGGCGTGTGTATTACGGCCAGCAATCCTTCCCCTGACCTAGAGCGTTCTTGTTTTTACGGCATGCGAGGAACTTCAGGGGAAAGCTGACTGGCATCCTGGCTCCAGGACATCTCGGGCTGGCGTCTGCCATTTCCAGAAGCGTCCTGAGCTTCCGTGTCTTAGCAAACTGGGTCCATCTGCCGGAACCAAACTGTTAGAGTGCCTCCGAGCTCCTGACGAACCGCTAATCTTCCTTTGTTGTTGTTAAGTACCGTCGAGTCGGTTCCGACTCATAGCGACCCTGTATAGAGTTTCCGAGGAGCAGCTGGTGGGTTTGAACCGCCAACTTTGCCAACTGTCCAGTGCTTCAGCACTTTAAAAAAAGGCATTTAAGACTCTGTCCTTTCCGGATGAGGCTACTGCACCCCTCATGGCCCTATTGTAACATTGGTCTTATTATCCAATGGAGTCTTACCCCCAGGAACGTGGGACAGTATTCCAAGGACTCAATGATTATCCCTTTATAATCAGTCTCAGATCTTTGTCTGCAGGTTTGATCAGTTCTGTGAATCCCAGATGGTGGTGTTTATGTGCCATGGAGTCAGTTCCAACTCATAGCGACCAGGGTTTCCGAGGCTGTAAATCTTTATGGGAGCAGAAAGCCTCATCTTTCTCCCACGGAACAGCTGGTAGTTTCGAACTGCCGACCTTGAGTTTAGCAGCCCAATTCATAACCACTACACTACCAGTCAAGAGATCAGACGATGTATTGCATTAGGCAAATATGCTGCACAGGAAGTTTTTTAAGTGTTGAAGAACAAAGATGTCAGCTTGAGGACTAAGGTGCGCCTGACCCAAGCCATGGTATTTTCAATAACCTCATATGGATGTGAAAGTTGGACAGTGAATAAGGAAGATCGTAGAAGAATTGATGCCTTTGAATTGTGGTGTTGGAGGAGAATACTAAAAGTGCCATGGGCTGCCAAAAGAACCAATAGATCTGTTTTGGAAGAAGTGCAGCCAGAGTGCTCCTTGGAGGCCAAGATGGCTAAACTTCATCTCTCATACTTTGGACATATTGTCAGGAGGGAACAGTCGCTGGAGAAGGATGTCATGCTTGGTAAGATGGAGGGTCAGAGAAAAAGAGGAAGACCCCCAACGAGATGGATTGGCCAGGTGGCATCATTGATGGACTCAGGTGTGGCAACAGTAGTGAGGTTGGCCCAGGATGGAACATTGTTTCGTTCTGCTGTGCATGGGGTCGCTATGAGTGGGTTCAGACTCAATGGCACCTGACAACAACAACAACGCTACCAGAGCTCTCTGTGAATCCCAGATAGATTCGGATAACAGATGGCTGTTCACCCTTTCCAGTTTATTTAGCATTTCAAATGTTACATATTCCAAAACAAACTCCTTGTAACTTCATTGGATTTCAGCTCATTGCGACCCCATAGGACAGAGTAGAATTGATTCATAGGGGTTGTTCTTGTTAGGTGCCATCGAGTAGGTTCCACACAGTGAGTGGTCCTATGCACAACGGAAGAAACACTGCCCGGTCAGGGCGCCATCCTCACAATTGTTGTTTGGCTGCTGCCACTGTGCCAGTCCATCTCAATGAAGCTCTTCCTCTTTTTTGCTGACCCTTCACTTTATCAAACATGATGCCTTTCTCCGGGAAGTGATCACTCCTGAAAACATGTCCAAAAGTATGAGAGTTAAGTCTCATCATCCTGGCTTTTAAGGAGCATTCCAGCTATACTTCTTCCAACACAAACCTGTTTGTTCTTCTGGCAGTCCATGAACTTTCAATATTCTTCTCCAACACCACAACTCAAATGCATCAATTCTTCAGTGGATTTCCTTATTCATTGTCTAACTTTCACATGCATATGAGGCAATGGAAAATACCTTGGCTTGGGTGTTGTTGTGAAGTGTCGTAAAGTCAGTTGTGACTTGTAGCAATATGTATACTGTTTCCAAGGGGTGATTAGTGAGTTTGAACCATCAACCTTGCAGTACTGTGTTTATCCTACAGCTCCACACTAGGACTCTTAGGGTGTAGGAAGATGAAATTACAACACTTTGGATAATGCCAGTCATATTTTGAGTGCCTTTCAACTTGAGGGGCTCATCTTCCAGCACTATATCTGACAGTATTCTGGTGCTATTCATGTTTTCATCCACTGGTACTATTTCTGACAATGTTCAGCTGCTATTATTCATAAGGTTTTCAATGGCTAAACATTCAGAAATCCATTCCTTTTCAATTTTTCTTCTTCCTAGTCTGTCTTAGTCTAGAAGCTCAGCTGAAACCTGTCCACTGCATACAACCCTGATGGTGGTGGTGTGCCATGGAGTCAGTTCCAACTCATAGAGACCCTGTATAGGATTTCTGACGCTGCAAATCTTTACAGGAGCAGAAAGCCTCATCTTTCTCCTGCAGAACAGCTGGTAGCTTCTAATTGCTGACCTTGAGGTTAGCAGCCCGACTTGTAACTACTACACTACCAGAGCTCCTGCAGATAACCCTAGTGGTATTGAAAATACCAGGGGCATAGTTTCAAGCATCACAGCAACCTGCAAGCCCCCACAGTACGACAAATGGACAGGCTAGCCCATAGGGTTTACAAGACTGTAATCTATGGAGTCTTGGTGTGGCCCTGCAGGATAAGCACTGGACTGCTAACCAAAAGGTCAGCAGTTCAAACTCACCAATCATTCCTTGAAACACTATATAGGGTCGTTCTGAGTCAGAACCGACTTGACAGCACTTAACAACAACAACAATCTCTGGAAGTACACTGTTACATGTTTCTCTCATGAAGTGGTTAGTGGGTTCCAGTAACACAAAACTTTAATCATTGTGCGATTAGGAGTCCTCTCCCAAAACACTCTCCTGAAAACTTGGCCTTCCTGGAGGTAACTATACTTGTTCTGACTGTAAATCCTGCTCGTTTCACCTCTAGACTATATTGTGAAGCTGGTCACTTCTTGCTGTCTGTACGCCTAGTGCTCTACAATAAGCCACCAGGAGCATTGCAGTAGACTTCTAAAAGTTATTTTATTTCTACTCATCCCCCTCTCCTGTCGTTGTGACACACACACACATAAACAAACAAACAAACAAAAATCCCAACATGCTAGAAGTCTGTTTAAAGTAAATCAAATTTTATTAATGGCCCAAAGGCCTTTTGCAAAATGAAGAAGAAACACAGAGTCAAGAAGCCCCAACAATGTGATCCCCAAAGCTCAGAATGACAAAGGTTAATAAAGCTAAAAACCACAAATGGGGAGTGCATTTGGGTTATTTTCTGATTACATATCATTTGCTGCAGGGGGCAGGATATTCTTTGACTACGTTTTGCAGGTATTAGAGTCGCTTACAAAAGGTG